TTTATACAGAAAGATTTTTATTTTTAACATACCAGATTACTGTACTTATCTGCTCCTAGAAAATATGTACTGTATAAACATATCCTTTATCTTGAACTTCAGTATTTCTGTGCTTCCAAGAAGAGTAAAAACATCTGGTTAAGTCACTGTGTGTGAGTACAATATGCAGGCAAAATCCTGTATGAATTGCATATAAAATAAACCATGGCTTCAATCCTTTTATTTTCTCCAAATGTTCAGCGTGACCAGTCTGTTGAAATCGCATCTCTGATACATGTCAGCGCAATGATACCTGATGTACTGAAATGCTTCTTTTCCGAATAAAACCAAGTTATGTTCTTGTTCTACAGCTCCCAATGTTTTAAAGTTTAGTTCTGTTATGTGTGTTCTCCCCCCGCCCCCCATCAAAGCCCCCCAAACTGGAATGGTACAAACTGTTGCACACCAGCGGTGATGGCTCCAAGGGACTGGCTGGACGGAGTTGTCATGTGTCTGCCTGTCTACACTTGCTGTGCAGAACATCCTCTCACCTGTACAGCAGGCACAGACAGGCAGTCGCATGACAACCCAGCCTGAGGGACAGCCGCCAGTGGGAAACCGCTCTGACACACCAGAGCTTCTTCACCAACAGCTCCAGCCAAGAGTCACTCTGGATCTCAGACGGCCGGTCAGTAACCAAGCCGCGTACTGCAACCCATCTAGAGTCAAACCAACACTGCCTATAAAATACAATAAAACCCACTGCTGAAATTTTTACTGTGCTTCCTATAGTACTCTTTTCCTAGTTGTTCTCATTAACTCCCTAAGTTTTACTCCTACGTAGCTTTGCGGAACCATGGTATGTCTTGTCTTCCCAATTACTTCTTGGGCATAACTCGAGCAACTCGCGCTGTTAGATTATTGTCAGTACAAAAGTCACTAACGCTCCTGCTCGCCACAGAAGCCAAGAGCAGCTTATTGTGTGGCAAGTTAATTCTGTAAACGTACACCGTGTTCAACCTTAGGGTAACTTCTCTCTCCCCTTTCCACTCTCACCTCCTCACTTACTTTCATATCTCCCTCCCAAGCCACACAGAATTTTACAATTGGGAATAAACTGTGAAATTACAATACAAACTGCATCTATCACTGGCTGTTGATAATACTGTCCTTCCCCATTGAAACAGAATGGAAATATTTTATTTAGAAATAAGACTAAAGGGGATTTTTCCAATAAATGTAATTTTCACATTTCCACAAGTTCTTACCCTACAGCCCATCTTACCATCCTTTGCACACCAATAATGCCAGTGAAATCTCTGGATGCTTTGGAAAGAATAATAAATCACATTTGCTGACCATGCCCTGTAAAAATGCTACAACACTTTACAAATGGCATCCTTCTGTTTACAGTAAAATCCTTTTTGATTCACAAGCTAGGATGGCATTCCACCTTCCTAAAATCCATTTTATCCGAATGTAGAAGTAGAGAATTCGCAAACTTCAAACGTGCAGGTTGACTCTCAAATGAAGCTTAGGACAAAAACTTACAGCTTTGTGTGTTACTTAACAGAACAGTAACAACTGAGAGCTAAGATGCTCAAACTTCATCTTTTTTTGACTGTGTAGCAATGCCTAACAATACTTTAGCTAGCATTACACTGAATACAAAAGAAAACTGTATTTGTGAGGTCAATGAACGTGCAAATCTTGCACTTATTTACAACAGCCTTAAAGTGGTACACAATATCTTTCCTGCTTGATTTTAAGCAAGCGGAAAAGCACAAAGTCATGGTACTGGTCATGCAACAAGGTTATGATCACAAGCAACTGTACGCAGAATCAGAAACGAATTCAGATTAGGATTTACATAACTAATAGTAAATACAGCTTTACCCACACTGTTCAAACATCAACTTGATATTTCCATAATTACAAGCCTAAAAAGCACTTAGGCACCGATTCCCATCTCCTCAAGGAATAAAATCCTGTTGTATCTTTCAGCAGCAACAAAACCATGTCAAGAAAACAATCACTTCTTTTGTCATACTGATATCATACACAATATTTTGAAATCTTTTGCCAAAGTAACTTGCTTCAAAGTGCATTCCACTGTGGACTCCTCACTATAAAAGCTAAAACTCACAAATAAAGGAAACAATTTACATCCTTCTAACGGCACTAGCAAGGAACCACTTGCATTCAGAGAGTCATTTTCATCTCGGAGTAAATTCCGGATTACAGAACACGGGCTCAGCTTACACTAGAGGGGGTACACAGCCGTAGAGGTCCTAGCAAACACTCCAGCTTTGTAAAATACATTGCCAGAGCTCACTGGTACACAAGCTGCTACATTCCTTACTCAGGGTGGAGGCACAGGGGGAACAAACTCATCCCCGTGGCAGGAGAATGACGGTGAGACCAGGCTTTCTACATCTTCCCCAGCTGCGACAGAGAGGCTATCGCTGCCGCGCAAGGACTGCAGAAGCGACCGGCCCGAGTGGGAGGCACGGGGGAACTGAACTCCCTGCGACCCTACAGCGTGCACAGCCGGACAGTCACATAAACATGGGTATCACTTCACACATCACTGAAGACTACATATCTTACCAGGCTGGAAATACACCAGCACGCAGCCCTTTCAATGATCATCTGAGAACAGGGTGTGACAACTACCAAACCAAGCTGAAAGTGAGGAGAAATGTAATTGTAACAACTGGCATTCACCCAGGAGATCAAATATTTGCTGCTTTATTTTCAGAAGCCAGTAGTTCTGTTCCCGAAACAGAAAGTCACCAGTCTTTTGATTAACCTCATGGTCAAGTAGCAGTTTTGACCATCTTCAGAAAGTAACTAAAACAGACCTTACTATTTTTTTAAGTCCTACTGAGAAAGGCCCAGTAAAAAAGAAAAAAAAAAAAAACCCAAACCAAAAAAAAACCCACCAACATAATTTTGTGAAGTCTTTCCCAGGACAGAATAATCAAATTATACAGCAAATCCGTACTTCAGGAGGAAATTCTTCCACCAGCAAAGCATGGAATCCTATGCTGTTATCTTCTCTTACCACTCTAAGAAATTGTTGAGTTACCTTCCACACGGGCCTGAATTAACTACTGATGTTTTCATGACTCTCCAAACATAACTGTTTGGCAATTAAGAAACATTATTTCCAAATATGCATATGGAAATCAGTGACCAATTCCCTCCATGTACTATTCTGAGATTCCCAGGTGACTCTCTCTAGCAGACTACCAAAACAAACAATTTCTTTCTAAAGTTGCATAGCAGAAGGCATTCCGTAAGTATTTTCAGTAATTTTTATACTTCACACTAAACAGAGATCAGACTTGAAAAAGCAACACCCAAACCACCTCCAAAATTGCCGTGTCACATCTTAGATGCATCTCCAAGTGCTTGAGATGGAACATAGCAAGGGGTGATAGTCTCTCCACTTACTTTAGTTACGGTTACCTGTAACTAATCTAAGACAGCAAGTTCTAGTAGCTTAAAGGTAGATCACAAAAAAAAAAAAAGACAGCTTCAAATCTTCAATTTCATAAAGGCACCTTTGTATTTGTTTTATATTCATTTTTGTGTCATTGCAATAAAGTACCTCAAATTATGTTTCACGTACTCTCAGAATAAAACTTTCCCTCTTGACACCTAGCACTTGGCGGCTCCTCCCCACTGACAGGCACTCATTTTCCTGTAAATACATCTGAATCTTTTTAAGACTTAAAATGGCAAGGGACAAAATCTTCAAGATTAACTTAATCTGTCCTTCAATCTTAAGGTCTATCCCAAAAAGTCTAGCCCAAAATGGCTACCGACTCAGGAAAAAACCCTCTACTGACCAGCGCAATTTCCACCATCAGCAGTATTCCTGAAGGAACTACTTCTGGTAAGTACCACACTCTGGCTTTGCAGGACTCAGCAGAGCTCTGGCGTATGTACACACACTGCAGGACCTCTCTCCAGTGGTTCTACAAAATCCACTGCAGTAAAACGCTAAATTGGTTAAACAGAATATGAGTTGTCTGCATAGTCCCCGTCAATCAACTCCCTGTTTTGTCGGGGTAAGCCAGCATTCTGATTATTACTTAGAATACGATGGAAAGATTGAGCGATGTTTCAGAGCTCAATTTAAAACTCTCTCTTTACCAGTGTCCCTCTCCCAGCCAATGAATGGTTCCCCCTAAAAATAAATAAATTTTTGCTGAAAACATTAAAAAAAAAAAAAGAGCTGGAAAATAAATGGATTTTTTTTTATTTATTTAGCCCATTTTTTCTACGAAAACCAACATAAACCTTAAAAAAACCCACAAGGGCTTTATTGTAAACCTGATAGCGCACATAATAATCCCATTTTAACCTTTATGAGTTAAGAGCAGGACTGCTGTTGATTTTTGCCTATAGAGTAACATTACTAATATTGTTGAAAAAATAATTAAGCAGAACAGACTAGCAAAAAAATGACTCCCAAAGCTGCCTAACAACATATTCAATAAAGAGAGCACAACCTGGACGTCCTGTTTATCACAGAAATGCTTTTTAGCATTTCAGATTTACTGATCAGTAGTGACATTTCTTATCAAGGTACATTTTTTGGATTTTCAGTAGCAAATTTGAAAATCCGTACCAACTTAGAGCAGACGCGCAAAGGCAGTCCAAAGAGGCATAGGACAATAAACAGAACATTCCAAAGCAGTTTTTGGGGGGTTTTTTTAGACCGATTTGTGGAAACCACAGGAAGAAAGGAAACAAAAAAAAAACCCCACACCCCATAACACCCCACACAACACCCTATATTTATGTTACCAAAATTTCAACAGAAGTCTTAGAAGGGTCAGCATTCTCTATGAATCAGAAAGAGAAAATTTAAAGGATGCAGGTAAAACCTTAAAACATTCTTTCAGTTAAGTCTGTACGAGCTGATTTAATGCTTTAAGCTGATATCAGAAGACTGAATAAATACTGGGGCTTTTTTCCCCAGTAGAAAAACGTTGCTCATTCCTTACCTCATCATCTTTATACCAGGACAAGCTTTCTGCAGTTAGAACGAACCAGTATTCCTTGGATCCTCCTTTCATGATGCCAATATTGTTGATGGTCAGCCAGCCTTTCCGGATCACCTGTGCAGAGGTGCAGTCAGGCACATGTTTAGTTCATTACTCACTTGACATAATTCTGCTGCAGCATTCATTCTTTTGAGTAAAGACTTGGTAAATAAAACAAGAACAAGTGCATTTTTTCAGTCTCTGGCAAATTCAAGAGTTTTTGCAGGTTCCTATCATTCAAGAAAAAAAAGAAACGTAACAAAGTGAATATAATGTCTTCAGTGAAATGGCTGGAGGGAGAAGCCTAAGTATTATCATTTTGTAGTTACAGCAAGTATGAATGCATTAAGGCTCGTGTAAACCTGAAGATATCTGCCATATAACAACATACTCTGAAAGTCCATACAACTTCATACATGACTACTCTGTTCTAGTCTAATTGTTAAGGTCATTTTTAAAGTTGGATACTAGGAAAAGCACCTAGATTCTGGCAAAGAGAGCAGCTTCTGGCATGCACTGGGAATCTTCAGAAGAGGCTGAACGAAGTGACAAAGCAGAGAGGTGTTCTACAGTTAACTTGAAATTAAGATAGGAGAGGTGTATGAGAGCTTTTTCCTTTTCATAAGGTAGACAAAAAAAAAACCAACACACTAAGGTGGCAATAAAAATCAGGGGGAAAATGGGTAAAGCAGAGCTTTTTAAAATAGATACAATGCAAAGATGAAAGAACAGATGGGAACAGCATACCTATAAATACTAAGGCCAGGAAGCTACATCATGCGAAGAGAAAGAGGGACAAAAAAAAACTTAAGAGGAATGAGACAACTCCAGAGGTGAAGGAGAGAATGGTCATGAGAACTGGTTTATGGATCACGCAGAAACTTCCCCTTTTATTGGAACATTTATTGTTTTCCAATATATACAAGAGAAAGCAAACATTCCTTCCTATCATAACCCAAACAAGACAACAGAACTCCTCCCAATCACAAAGGGGCAGGGAACCTCAACCATTCTGTTCCTCCCCACGGCAACACCTTTTACTTGCCTATGAAGTATTGAGATGCAAAGAAGTGCTCAGAGAAGCCCTCAGAACTCCCTCGACAAGTCCCACAAGCATGGACCTGTGTGATCAAACGTGAGTTTCCTCTTGCTTTCAGGGAAATAAACAAGACTGTGACATTCTTCTCACAGGGCTTTACAAGACCAGTAACTCCAGCAGCAACAGAGTGCCAGGGAAGCACATTGCTCTATATCTATTCCTTGTCATCTGTAGAAGTTTCAGAATCAGAATTCACTCCCATTCAGCATGCATGTTCACGCAAACTCCCTGCAAAAAACAGCTTTGGTATTGCACAGAGCAAGGGACTAAGATATATTTGATAACTAAACCAAAGAAAGAGATCAGAAGTTGCACCTGAAAAGCTGGTAAAACTATTGGTAATGCACATAATCCAAGGATATCGATTTCATCTCAGATGAGATGATTATGTCTTCTGTGTCGCTACCATCCAGGCCAGCAGTGTAAGAAAACCACTGAAGATCCAAAAATGGTCTATGGGTTTTCAGCCTGTAAGAAAACTGCTAAGAAAGCACTGATCTGGTTCTGAAGACCCAGTAAGCTATGAGAGAACTGGACGCGACTCCCATAGCGAGACCCAAAGGTACAGCACGAGCAGACTGGATGAAATAGCCTGTACCACAAAGGTTTCTGCTTAAGTTTGTCATTATTTTTGATATTCATGTTCATTGGAAAAAAAAAAGTGGAGAGGGGGCATTACTGTTTACAAATAGACATGGAATGCTTGTCCGAGTGTAAGTTAAGGGAAACATTGATACGAACTTGATTATCCATCAAATCCTCATTTTACTTTACAATGTTTATTGAAATAAACTTTTAATAGGAAACAAGGAACATGCACATATAGCCAGTGTACTGCCCTTCAGGCAGCTGCCATAGAACAAGTTGTGGAACCAAGATAATCTCATTTTCTTTCTTCACTGAGCTACACAAATGCAAGTGGAAGAAATTTTAGGAAAAATCCAGGAAATTCAGGTTCTTCAACCACTTGAACTTGGCTTCACAACAAAGTGAGCTATATTTGTAAAGCAGACTAAATACTTCGCAGCAAATGTGCAAAGGTGGTTATTCTCATATCATAAAGAAACTGAAATAAGAGGCTATGGGAGAAGATGCTGTTGAACCATGCTGTCTGCAATTGAAAATGCCGTGTTGCTCCCTCTAAAGCACGTATGCACACACAGGGAGCACAGGCAGCAGGGCCAGCACACTGCTGAAAACTGGCATGGGGACACATCTTGGAAAGGGTAAAACATTTGAAGACAGATCTCGCAGTGGGGATAAAGGGCTGGTTTTTCAAAGTAAACTAGTGAGAAATACCTGAAGAGCATGTTCAAGAACTTAAAAGTGATGAGCACATAAAAGGGAAGTGAGGTAGCACACTCTGCTTATTCCATTCAGTGCTTTCCCTCATCATTACCATAGGCTTTGTAGCGTGTTAAGAGAGTCAGATTTTCTCAATTTGACAAGAACGCATTTGGGGCAAAGGTCTTGGAACAGACCAAGCTAAGGTTTAAAAATCTAAACTATACAAACCTTTTAAGAAGTAATGAAGCTTTTAATGCATCTAGTGTAGGAACTGTATTAGTTGCGTAGCTCCAAAAGACTGTCTTGCTCCAGTCTAACACATTGCCCTATAGATGCATAACCATCACCGGGTGTGGACAAAAACAAGCTGACTTGCTAATACAAACATTGGTCACTGTCTTGTAAAGGAAGGAATTTGCCAGTTGTTTCCTCAAAAATCCTGTGTGCTGAGGATTAGATCCAGCTGTCGTTCCCCCACAACACTGCATGAAGAGCAAGGCACCAAGCTATAGCGATATCTTGGACAGATCTATTTTATGTGCAAATTTCCAGGCCTGTTTATTTATATCCCTCTGGGAAAACAGGGTACTGTGTTCTTTCAAATATCATGGACCCTACAACAGATCATAATTATCCAGAATACTTGGAAACAGTTCCAGGGGACATCAAGAGAGAGAAGAGGAGCTTAGCGCGTTAAGCCTCGTGTTCTTTTGATTGAATTGTTCCACTTTCCCAGGTACATTTTGTTAACTAGAAAAAGCTACACTTCCAAAACACTTAGTACCAGTGTTGGGGCTGGGGCAGAGGGAGATGCCAGATCAAGGTGCAAGTACAAAACAAAGTGAGATTAAGCAACATAGTTTTTACTTTCCAAAGACGCTGAATTACACCTTAGACTCCAGCCAGCTTCTCAAAAAATAACTCAAGCTATATTTTAGAAATAAGTGTCCTTCCATGGACAACAAGCATCAAAGATTTTCATAGCTACTTTTGAAGTTAAAAAAACTCTGATGGGGGGGTGTTGGTGGTTTTAAAACTATTGTGTTAACTATGTTGTATAGTACTTCAGCTTGAAAAATGAAAGTAGGGGGTTTCATTATTGTTTTTACTAGTTCATTTTCTGGTTGGTTTGGATTTAAGAGATCCCCTTCAGTATTTTCTGTCATATTTCTAAATGTAACTCTATGCAAACCGGATATTAGTGACATGAGTTATGGACTTCAGGAAGGTGAAAAATATGGGCACTGCCAGAAGCTAGTGAAGACAATATTCTGACCGGTAGTTGGACTCCACGTACAGGATGAACAAGAGATGACACAGTTCCTTCCTTCAGAGTCCTGATATCTAATCTGGGTGCCCAAAAAATGAAACTTAGAGGGTACGCATGCACATGAACAAGCCAGAAGGAAGTCATTTTCTGATAGTTCAGCTGCACAAACCCCAAATCATATCTGCTGTTCTTATTCTCCACCACTTCATGGATAAACAGGAAAGCAGGATTTGACACAAGAGGTACATTTTATATATTGCTGCAGGACTTATTCATTCCATTAAATCAAATAAGGTATTTGTAGAAGAAATACACTGGAGAATCAGAAAGTGATCTATTTCTTTAAAAGCAGTATTTGCAAGATGATTTCAAGGTAAGTGAGAGATAAATGAAATTGGCTGGGCAGACAGAAATACAAGTATGGAAATCATGAGTCTGGCTACTTCTGCAACAAAACAAGCAGCAGCATTTGTTGAGTTAACATAGCACTCTATTAAAGTTATGTCACATAACGCCATTGAAATAATTTTGAATGCACAACAACTCCCAGCACTGCTCTATCTTCTAATTATTGTGATAACAGCATGTGTTACCAAATAGTAAGCACATTGAGAGAATAAAAACTGCGAAAACTACTCTGTGAGGCATCCTTACAAGCTATTGGTTCTTCGGGTTCAAATACAAAGATTCTTACACTACAGAGGCTAAAAAGGAACAACAGATGAGAGGGGAAATTTAATGCAGTATTTCACTGTAATTTGCCCAATGTCAGAGGATAAACTGATCAGATCTGTTCTGACACTGAACACAAATAAGGCCTTCTGACACTGCTTCCTCCGAAATCACTGCACAACATATCACATAACTTAAAAATAATGACAGTGGCTTAAGTCGTAAACCCATGTCTACTTTGAAGAAAAATTTAGTCTTTACTGAAGCAAACCACTCAGTAGTGAAAAACTGAAATATGCTTCCAAATGTAGTTGAACAAAGACTGAGGTGATTAAGTCAACCATGAAAGAATGTTAACCTAAAAAATAAGTCCAGTTAAAGGCCATTTACAACAGCAACAGTCTTGATAAGGTGAAAATTCAACAGCAGCATGTCTCATTCAAGGATATTTCAAAATTTAGCATCATGTGGTTGTCCACATCTTTTACAGAAACACCAACACTTCTTAACAAAACAGCTTTGTCATGATTTTTCATGACCACCTCAATGACCCTGGCACAAATTTCCACTTCCATCTACTTGCTGAAAAAAAATTCTGTAAACACATTTTCTTCCTGGGTCATGCAAGGTAACAGGATTTAAGTGGACCTGAAGAAAAGAAGCAGCAAAGTATGCTGCAAAGCAAGATTAAAAAGCAAAAAAAGACCAAAGGGGTTACTAGGGAAAAAGTTACTTCCTAGCACAACAGTTCAGACCAACTGATGGGGTTTGAATGCTACTTGTGTCCAGAACAAGTGTATCAGATTGCTAGTGTAAGGTTGTAAAAGAGGTGGGTCAAACAAAGCCTTGGAACCCAAACCTCCAAATCACTTGGCCCATGACTGGAATGCCATAGTTCAGGTTAAGCCCCTGCTCCAGTTAGAGGGGCTACTTCAAGCACAGCAGCAGATTTTGCTGCAGAAGTAAAGCACAAAACAGGATTTCATGTAAACTATATATAATCCTCTATAATCTGACTATCTTGCATTCTCACACACAGAGAATCAGTTGGGCACATGGAGCAATGATACCTTCATCTTCAAAGGTTTGACAGGAAGGGAAGCTTTAAACACTAACTTTTAGTCACCAAAACAAATCTCATCACACAAAATAACGCAGTTAAGAGTGTGTCAGCTTTCAGGAGCCAGATCTTGCTAGAGTGCTGTGTAAAACCCAAGCACTACACCGATTATTTCAAGCAAATTAGAATATAGACTAACCTGTGGCTTAAAAAGAAACTTTGTGCAGTCAGGTCAAAACCTCAGGCGGTAGCAAAGGAAAGACAAACAAAAAAGGCCAAAGATTCAGTGTGAGAGAATAAATTAGTAGAGAGGAAAAATGAGCAAAAACATGTTAAGAGGAATTGGCACCACGCTTCTTCCAAAAACACAATAATGCTGCGCTCATCTTATTTCCGAGATTCACAGAAATAGTTAATAGTTATCTGCACTCTTCAAGTTCAAAGCAAGCGACAAAAGAAAAGCAATGGATTGCAAACGAGCATCCCACTGTTTTGGGAAAACTTAATGATCTTGATCTCCCGAGAGGTTCAATTCAACTGCTGTTAGAATTAGTGCTACCTAGTCCTTCTTCCTTTATTCAACATTAGTTTAAGTTTGTTCGAAATGATAACAAATATAATTTAATTATGTGGCAACCAACTGGAAAAATGTATGTTTTCATCATAGATATTACCGAAGAATGCACACAATACAGAGATTTACTACTTACGCCTAGCCATCACTATACCAGGAGTAACTTGTTATCAAATTAACTGCTGTTTAGACAATTAATTCTAATTAGTAATATTAAAGGCATTCACATATTTATTTACTCATGAGGTGGAAGGGTTAGAAAGGAACCTGTCCATGATGTATTCATCCTCCTGGTGCTACGAAAAGAATGCTAAAAATGCTTTAAATATTTTTAAGTCTTATTAAGAAAACTCACTTTTTCCTATCAGAAGTAATTCCTTTGTATAAACAAAATACCAGTAACAGTACCTGTACCCATAACAGCACGTTCATTTAAGCAATAGCTAATGTTTCCTTTTGGTTACTAGAAACTTATTTGCCCACCTTTCAAGCAGAGGTTTCCTATGAATAGAGGTACTTACAACAGATAAATACTGCTTTCCAGTTATATAATAAAATAAACATCAATTAGTCATTTTAGTTTGAGAAACTCAGTAACTTATAAAATTTTAATTTCATTCAAAGTTTTCTATAACATTAAGTTATACTAGTTCATACTTGTAACAGCATGTCAGTAGCAGTTAAGTGATGAACCGCAATTATACTTTGTTGAGGAAGTGTTACAGACAAGACAGTTTAATGTTAAGTAGTTTAGTAGCAAGTATTCAACAAACCAATGAGTTAGAGACAAACTTTGCCCTCTGATAAGCTAAATGAAAAAGCAACAATAAAGCTTACAGAACTTAGCTCGTACAATTTGCCTTGAAGGCGGTAGATTGGTTCCCTGAAATAGCAAATTGCAAAAATGAAGTTTTATTTCAGAAACATTTTCTCATTCTTTTCAACTCCAAACAATTAATTTACAAACATCTGTTTACTATCTTTAAAATAAAAGGTTCAGCAAAGTCCTTTATACCAAAAGTAATCCAGTTTCAACATTTAATTTAAAATGCCAAGCTTTTTCTCCACTTCTTCAGAGGCAGAATATTCACCTAATTAAAAAACCCATTCATTTTACTGGTGTATTTTTGAAAAGTCAGATAATTGGTCAGTGTTCCTTTTATGGGACACTCCAAAGTGATGATGGTTGCTGTGTTTGACACATGTTCCGGCACAGCTACATAAGAAGGAAATCTCTCCTTGGAGGGGAGAGACTAGTCTTTGAAGCCATTTCAAGTGTTTAGACCTTTCAAGTTTTTTTTCATTTTAGTCCAAACCATACATTACATCAAAAATGCCATTCACGCTGGTCAGGCTGTGGGGGAATCATTGCATCCAAGAAGTGAATGGATTGTTTTAACTAGTATCTCAAAAATAGCTAGAAATTTCTTGGTAGGAGGAAGAGGCTGGATTTCTATTCCCAGAAAGATGACTAAGTTTTCAAAAAAGGCTGGAACTCTCATCTACAACAGCAGTATAGGAGACTTTCTGAAATCTCAGGTTTATCACCTGAGCGTTCTAAACTCAGCAGTCACATTTGAAAAACTTGACCTTGCACTCCTGAGCACCATTTGACCAATTTGCACATGAAAACATCAGGAAGACGTTCAATTCAGGTAGTTATTGACAAAAAATTTCATTGTCTTATTTTTACTAGAATTTTTTATTTCTTTTTAAAGTATGGACTAAGTCCATAACATTTTCTTTTCTGTTTAAGACTTTGCAAAACCCTCAAAGTGAGCAGAAATCCTCCAGGTTGTAGAAATTTCATTACTTTTATGTCATATGAAAAACAGGACTGATCCTGTGAAGTACTGAGCACCCCTGGCCCACACAAAAGCAAAGAAGGAAGCAAAGTTCCGGAGCACTTAGCATCTTGCAGAATCAATCCCATATTCTTATGTGATAAAAAGAAACAAACAAGTAATTTCATTAACGAATCTCAGTGAAAATGCCAGTTAAACTGAGACCACCAGCCAGTTATTCTTTTTTTACTTTGAGAGAGGACTATGGTACATAGTAAACATCTTTATGAAGTCAACGGAAAAGTTTTAAAAAGAGGTAAAGGCCATTCCACTTTTGCTTGCTGAATTGCCCCTTCACTGCTATTAAGCTGTGAACAGGTAAGAACTAGTAAAACAACTATGACAAAAGCACACACAAGCAAGTACTCACCAGTGTTTTGGATTCTGAAATTCACAAGTTTACAGTTAATGACAAAATACATTGATGTGTAACATGAAAGATTCAATGCACTAAATGGCATGGGAGGGGAGACACTAACCAGCAGTGCAAGCAGTAGCAGAGATATTAAACAACAGATGATAATAACTAAAGCCAGGTGGCTCTAAAAAATTCAGTAGGACAAGGCAATGAAGATGCATTTTATATATGTCTGAAGCAGCAAAGGTAAATGATACACTTATAACAAATAAACACAGCTTGCATTAACTTGCACATGCCATTATTCATTCTCTGTTAGGTGCCTACCTGATTTCCCACTGCACTTTTGTTAACCTGACTGCTTCTTTGTTGGGCACTAAGGAAAGCAGAGGAAAAGAGTTATACTGAAGAAACTCGAACTAAGCCAGTTCCCGAGGAATAGATTTTAGCAGTAATAGTTACTTCTGATTCCAGCACAGAAAGCTAGAGTAACAAAGAAACACAGCAAAATCATTGCATAGATGTGCATATTTCAATGACTTTTTCTTACAGTATAGGAACGCCTGCTCAGGACAGAAGGGACATGCACAGCAGACAGCTCGCACTAATCTTCTCCTTCATAACAACATCCTACTTGGATTGCTAAAGGTTACTAAAAGCAAAGAGAAATTATGGCTCACGTGGGTCACTCTGGAAACATTAGCCTCTATAAATATTCAAGAGAGACAAAAAGCAAACCATTTTTGTTATTTAGCGCAGTACAACAAAATCCTCCCCTGCTGGAGGCTCTTTAATAGCTTTGTCTTGACAGTTTGTTTTGGATATTATTCTAATATTTATATGAACGTTGAGGGTGTAAATATAACCAATGGGTGAAGCAATCACAAAGCTGGTTCAAAAAGCTGGAAACTTGTAAGAATTGAGCATATTTGAAATTAAAACATATTTAAAATATTTTGCTGAATTCTTGAACTCTGGTAATCCCAGTCCCTGAAAGAAAACACTCTCCTGTCTCAAAAACATACAAGTTGCCATTAATTCTACAAGCATTTGCATTACGTGGTAGTTTGTAAGTGTTAGGCCACAAAATTAAAATACTGCTGGAAAGAGGAAAAAAGTGTTCAACCAGCAGGCTACTTGACCACCAGAGCGGCCACTGGTGACAGAAAGCTTTGTTTGGATTAGAATATACCACTGAGGCAGGCACTGATAACTGAAGAAACAAGCACATGTATTAGATCAGCTACAAATACTGCTCAGAGTAAGAAAGATGTGCTTGGATTACAGCCTGTGGGCCAATCCTGCAACTGTTTTGTGCACAGCTGCTGTTCCAAAGCATCGCTGAAGCACCAAACTCAGCCCTGGCCCAACTCTGATACATCAGACCGCACTCGTATCAAACCAGCAGCCCCATGCTGTCTGTGAGAAGATCCACCAGGATGTCTATTCCATGTGCCTATTCACTGCGCTTAGCTCTCAATCATCCAGATCACTTGACCAAATAACATGGAATGTCTCTGGTGCATCGCCTGAGTTGCATAAGCTTTGGTGCATAAATAATGATTAAATAACATGCACACAGCAAACACAGCACTAACCCCTCACTAATTTCCATCTGTTGCTTGAGAAACACATGAGACGGCTTTAGGAAACCTAATCACCATTTGTTTGGTTGGGGTTTTTTTAAATTTTATTTTATTGCCTTAGGAAAGCTAAATAGACCACTAACATCATACTAAGAAACCCACGCCTTTTAGAAATAGCCCAGCAGCTGATCCTCTACCTACTGTTCTAAATACAAATTACTCTTTATTGTAGATTGAAGCATGTAGCTATGCCTGAGTTACACCAACTGGAAACAAACCCAATCCCAACATTTTACCACTTGTTCTGCTAAATGAGACTAACATTAATATTCTAAGATTTCACAATTTCATAACTATGCAAAGTTGTTCTAAAAATTGGCATTCTTAAATCCTTCTCAAGTCAATTCATATCGCACCGTAATTGCCTTAGGCCCTGCACTGCTGCAAGGTAGTTTGAAATGTCTTGTGCTCTCATTCTTATGAGCAAGGTTCACAGGACTTACCCTTCTAAAACACTGCAGTCACATGAGACAACTGGCTAGAAGACTCAGCAAAAGCAAGCAAAAACCAGGGAATCTGGGGAATCTATAGTCCAAGATGTTTAGATACCGCAGAAGTCCATATGCTACCCCCAAAAATATTTAATTTTCCAGTTCTAAAACGATTATTATAACAATAATATGTTTATAGTTTAAAAATGTGTATTTTCTGCTGTTTAACTCATATTAATGTATTGTACATTTAAATTTTTCTTAGTTATCCAAGTTTTCTCTTCCAGTTGAGCACAAGTCAACAAAGATACTTCCCTTCCCACCAGTTTCAACCTATAGAAACATCTGCTTAAGTTTATCAGTGAACTGAAGTTGCCTGCTTATACCCTGCACACAGATGCTGGGCATTTCTAGATCTCAATTGGCAAAAGAGGAAGCAGCTTTCCCAAGAAACTGAACTCTGGCATTGCAACTCCTTGGAAAAGACACAGCAGTGAGGACCACGGACTGAATTACAGACCCCAGCAGCAACATCCACGAGGGGGATTCTTCCAGGGGACAGAAATATCGAAATAGCTCCAGATACACCTGGCACTCCAGAATCCAAGACCATAAAACATGGAAGGTTCTAACTTGACACAAGAAAAAGTCTTTTCACAGGAGGAGAGGCAAGCATTGGAACAGGCTGCATAGGGAGGTTGTAGAATCTCCAGTTTTGGAAGTTTTCCAGCTCTGATTGGACAAAGCCCTGAGTAACCTTGTCTGAACTCAGCATTGACCCTCCTCTGAGCAGGAGGTTGGGACTATGTGACTTCCCAAGGTCACAACACACACCAAGATTATATATGGAGTGTTTTTAGCCGGCTTTTTCCTGTCAGAAAAGGGTGAAAAGAAGTAAATAGCAGGCAGGTTGTTATCTTGACCTCTGGAAGGCCAGCTACCATTCCTACAACATCCTGTCATTTGTCAAGACTGATAAAGATATCTAGGAGCTGCAAACAATTCTAGAGAAAGTTGTTCAAACCAAACACATAAACAGTGCCTGGCTTTTCTTTCTCCCCTCCCAGCTTACTGAACTCCATATCTTAAACCTTCAAGGCATAATGCCAAAGATGTAGACCTCCCTTCACACTGCTAACTAGAGTAGGCCGTAGTATAATACGTACTGTGATGCCAAACTATTGCCAACATCCCACATGGATGAAACCTGCTGTGATTCCAAACACTGTTATGGCAAATATGGCATGAATATGACTGAAGAAACAATTATTCTTCAACGAGTGAAGACATCTTCAACATTTTTACTAAGTCCCTGAGGTACAAATTGCTGGAAACCAAGGGAGAACATTCTAGAGACTACTCTCACAGCCTTTTCAATTGAGCGAGGAGAACGTCAAACCAGGCCCTGCAGGGCATTCTGCTACTATTATTCTCTACACCCAAACAGCAGGCACACTTATAATTCAGTGACATTCATTACTCTGAGCAAAACTGTTTCACACAGAATCACAGCTCCCAAAATATGCATTCACAACAATGTGGAAAGACCATCAATATCATACATTTCTGTGGTCCTAAAATGGATACAGTGAGGGCATCAGCTTGCCAAAGCTGCTTCCTGAGATGCATGTGATTCCAGACCAAGACATAAGCTTCAGCTTCAGTGAAACCAGGCTTGTAAACTGGGGTGAAGAATCCCCTACAAGTGGAACAGAATTCAATGCTGTGTATATTGAGAAACACACTCCTGCATATTTGGGACTTTGCAGCTTGCAGCTTCGCTGTCACATTTCAGGACTTGTGTTTCAAACTTAGTTAAAAAAAAAAACCCAACAGCTGACAGTGTCTTTATAACAAAGTGTCTTTATAACAAAGTCTCTATGTACATACTTTGCAAAGCCAATGAAGTCTTCGTGGTTGGTGTTGATGTAAGAAACCTGGATGTCAATCAGCAGCAGCACCTATCAGGGGAGACAGTAGAGCAAAAAATGGGTGGGTACGGTAGAGGAAAGAGATTGAGTAAAAGGATGGGAGAAAAGAAGAGAACTTTTGAGTTTTCTGCATTATTGAATATTCCTTTCATAATTGCTCAAGCCAAAAGCAACAATATTTTCTAAATCCTACCACTTCTGTTCATGCGCTTGTTTAATAAGCTAGACTACAGAAGAGCTCTTCCTACTTTTTTCCTGACAGACTTCATTTTTCTATCATCTTTGCCCTTGTACGCTTTATTAAGATCAATCATACATGGCCAGAGAGTGATTAATAATATATAATATATATTCTAGCTCTACATTTTGCAAGTTACACAAAATTCTGTCTATTTGTAGCATTCCAGTCAAGCTAGCAAGGAAACCAAACTTTAAACCTAAAATCAGTGTACCTAAATTTTCTTTAGGTACTACACAAAGAAGTGATCTTTAAGCTAGCCCTGTCCCAGAAATGTACAGTCCAGGTACTAGACAGCCATTCTGGTGCACACATCTGGCTTGAGAGATAGGCTAGTCAATGAAATAACAGAATTAATGATTTCTGTACTTGTCACTTGCCAGGCCTTCAATAGCCCAGAGACAGAATTTGATTCAAACTTAATAATCTAATTCAGCAAACAACTTGCGAAGATAGAGAAAGCTCACTCCTACCCTTCAACAGCTTCTTGCACATGCATGAGAGTGCACTTTCCCCCTATCTTTTCAGGCTCCCGTTTATCAGCAGGGAGCAAGGAAGAAACATATTGCTACCAAATGGTAACATTTAATCTCTTCAAAGTGTACAACATTTATTTCTGTACAGCTCCTCAAACACAGCATCACTCCCAAATTCTTTACAATTTCCAGAAGCGAAGTGCCTTACTCAGAGCAAAAGATAGTGGGAACCCAGGTCTAGCTCTTACCTCTGAAAATATTCTCACTAATGTTTTGATAAAGTAACAATAATGACTAACATCATAAATAATGAAGTGAATATGTGACAATAACCCTTTTTGACCAGCTCTTGGCATTTACAGAAAGCTGGTAATTTGTTCCAGGAAATTGCCAGGTATATGCACACAACGAAGAATAGAATAATAAGAAAAAAAGACTCACTTATTCTTAGTAACTTGTATCTTCTTCCAGATTTTGAAATAACTGAGTTTGCTAACTAGAACTCCCTGCAAGTACAAGCCCAAATATGATTTTTTAAAAAATTATTTTTAAAACTACATTCACGGGACAGATTAAAGGAAAAGAAGCAAGACATGCTGCACTGCTCCCTAGCTCACACAGGAACAGGACTAGAGAGTCAAGAGTCCAGAACATCGTAGGAGTTCTGCCTAGACCTTCTTCCAAATATTTCTGTTGTCACACTCTGCACTCTCCAGACAATAATTCGTTTTCCCACGTCCAGTGGATTTTCTCACACGTAATCTAAACTTCGAAGTTTCCTGGATTCGGAGTGCTTAGCTGGGTGATGAATGTTCTAAAGAAGTTTCTCTGAAATTTTTTTTTGTTTGGTTGTTGTTTTTTTTTTTGGTGTTTTTGTTTGTTTGTTTGTTTTTTTAACTGCAGGGAAAGAAGTGGTCAGAAAAGCTGTACATCCATGAAGCTGGAATGGTGCTGGTTAACAAACGCTTGAAACTCTGAATTTAAAATACCACAACCTAAAGTCATCAACTTGATAGCAGTCCCTGCCTTTTAGAATGGCCATAGGAGGAATCTTTTTCTTACCGATTTTAGAATCCAAAGGAGAAATTGCTTTATTAATTTTCAGATTTGAGATACTGCCTTTCAAAGCCCTCGGGAGCCAGTTCCAGTGGTTCTACACTATGCACCTCAGCAAGCCTGTAAACACAGCCAGAGACAGATGGGGCCAAGTTGCTCGGCTCAGCCTGCAGCTAACGTTATTGTTCAGCAACACAGAACTTCAGCACCAACGCTTGCCGGAGCTCAGACATCAACTACACAGCTTGTCACTCCCGCAAGAGTCCCAGTACAATTGCTTGTGACTGTAATTAGAACATTTCATTGGTATGTTAAAAAAAAAAAAAGGAAGCAAAGTAGAAAAAAGGCTGGGTACTTCTGTGTGTGCTTGTTTAATCATGAATCTAGACGAGATAGAAGGAAGAAACATTTTTTACGATAAGGGTGGTGAAACACTGGCACAGATTACCCAGAGAAGTAGTGGAGGCCCCATCCCTGAAAACACTCAAGGCCAGGTTGGATCGGGCTCTGAGCAACCCGGTCTAGTTGAAGATATCCCTGCTCACTGCAGAGGGGCTGGGCTAGATGACCTCTAAAGGCCCCTTCCAACCCAAAGCATTCTATGATTCTACAAATCGATTTCCCACAAACAGCTGTTGTGGCACAGCTAAGATGGCGGCACACTGTGCCAACAGGAACAAGCTGATGCTACTTTAAGACGCCAGTCCTAATCTTAAAAGACCAGACTAGCATTTTCTGTAACAATTCTAGTTTCACCTGTCAAAGCTCAATGGTAGAGGAGCAATTTCTCTCCCTTCTAAAAGTGTACAGCCTGTTGAAAAAACAAAAAAAAAAAAAAGAAAAAAAAAATCTTTCATTGTCTTCCTGTACTTTGTGCATAAGAACTTTCCTCCTCTGCAGATCTGCCCAAACCATTAGATCTCCTATTTATTCTCACCTGATCCTTCGTCTTCTCTTCTCTTTCACGAATGTAGCCAGCAACAATTCTTTCTGTTTCCTCACACAACCTCGGATATGTTGCCAACTGAAAAGCAAAATTAATAGAAATTTATACCTGCAGGGTAGCTTCAGTAGAATACAAACAGAGAAGCCTCCAGCTTTCCTCTTTTGAGGAAAGCAATTATTATAAATGCTTGGGCTAACAGTTAACTACACTACAAAGCAAGCCTTACTGGCTACTAATGGTCATTTTCCAGAGAAACTGGAAAGACTTAACCCTTGAATTGTGTCTGTGCTTTACTGCATGGAATATGGAGGAAAAGACACTTTGGACATGTGATCCACAGCTTATCGGCCTTGGGGTGAGGTTTCTCCATGCCTCTCTCTTCTCCTGTGCCTAACTCCAGAGTGGCACTTGAAATAATTTCCAACTTTCTTGTTCTATGAAGGCTCCACCTTGTGGCAACATCCTTAAATTTCAGTAACAAAAACGTGAACAGCAAAACACAACAGTAAATTTGGCCAATAGCACTTCGAAAAGAATCTGCACAATTAATTCATGTGACATATCTTCCAAACTTTGACAAAAGTGGCAAAACCCTGGAAACTCCGCTCAAAATACTGCGGTGAATCTGCTTCTCTGTGTTCTTTGTCAAAAGATTGTTATCCTTTCCTATATTGAGAAATAGCTGCTCTACCTGCTCACTGGTAGAAAAAAAAAAACAAACACATTACTCGAATGCAAAGGACATGACAGGCTGTTTCTCAACAACTTCAGCATATGCGTGCTTACACGCCAGAACCACTCCTGTACTTGCTACTAGTAGGGTACCCGGCACGCTGAGATGGTGGGTAAGACAGATGAACAGAAGGTGAGGCCAGTTAGCTACGGAGTCTGCAAGAGTCAGTGAGATCTTCTAGAATATCACAGAGTAATTGGAGAAAAGATAACTGAAAATCAGCAACCATTAGTTGTCAATACTTTAGACAAGTGAGTCACAGTATTGACAGATGACAACTTTCCTATGAGGGGGGAAGAGTGGGAGGGGAAAAAAGCTTCTTATTAATGTATCTGACATGCTTCCTTAGCCACAGCTGGGGGCTGTGAAGTTTGAGGTTTCATTCTAAGTGTACACACCAACACAAGTACACACTTCAGGAAAACCATTCCCAGAGTAACTCATAGTAACGCTATGTTTAGTTTTGATGAACTTACTTCTTAACTTATTACACTTGCAGGATCTTGAGTTAAAATTTTTATTGACGCACACAGCCTTCACATCAGGAAGGTCAATGTTCAGCAGTTCTTTCCACTTAGACGTTCAGCACTTCTGTGCAGCAAGCTCATTCATCAACACCAATGCAAGGATGTAGAAATACAAGGGAGATTAAATCATCTTAGCTTTCCACTTCTAACATTTTGACAGCTGTTGTGTATGATAAAAGCACAGGTGAAGCTGTAGATCCTTTATATCTCAAAGAACTGTGGTGCTACCCAGAAGAGTTTCAATATAGAAAGAGCATTTTTCTCTCCTTGATAGACATCTCTGAACACATTTAAGGCCTTTGCTTTAGACAAGTTGCACTGTTTCTTCCTTGCATTAGCACTGGAAAAGAAAACTTTGAAATACAAACTTTTTTGCTGATTTACACATCCATAGAACTGCTGACTATGTTCTGTTTGCAGTAGCAATGAAAACATGGTTTTAAAGAATAAATTGGGGGCAACTCTTTACTCCACAAAATTCCAGTCGTGAGGTGGATACATGTTCAAAACACAGGAGTGAAAAAAATGAAGATTTTCAGCATCACATTGTTTTGAGTTCTGCAGAAACTGTAATTACTCTATAGAGTCTTATTCTGCACATCAAGTGACTAGATCAGAAATCTCTTATAATACTCTAAAATGTAAGATGGGCTTTGTATTATTATTATGTTATACTCACATTACCAGATCTATTTGCAGTTTACCTTTTTAGTGCACTTCTTGACAGTGTTGATTAACTCTTGCATCACCAGATCCACGCTTTTTAAGCAAGGTCCTTTCAGCTTGACTATCTGTTTTTTAACAATGGCTTCAAATGCCATATCTGGAGTAAACAAACCTGTTCTGTGGAGATAAAAGAATATGTAAGATGGTAATACAAACAACTTGCAAGGAAGATATTTTTTTTTACTGAATTGCTCATAATTTTCATTTTCAGAGACTTACAGCTGAGTAATAACAACCATTAACACAAACTGCCTTCCACAAAATTATATTTTCTCCTTTCTCCTTAAAACACAATGTGTCATTGAGAGTTGGAATATAGAAGTAGAAACACGCCCTACTACTCGAAGATGACTGCAAGAACTTTAAGAGTGCTGATACAACGCAATAGAGTCTCTCCAGCATGCACCCAACCTTAGATAAGGGATACATAGCAACCTCCAACCTCAGCCCTTTATCTTGGCCTAAAATACCAATTTCCCCACATATTTGGAAAAACTGGGATAGTCGATTTCACATCACTTCCTCTGACAAGCTATACTATTCAAATAAGGTAGAAATGGACTACAGATAATGTGCATAACATTCTCACTTCTTCATTTGCTGTTGCAAAGTATTCCATTACTTCAAGGTTTCAGGATTGAGAGCTCACCAAGTCACCTTGACAATACCACTGTACAAGTAATACAAATAACATTTTCCAAAACACTAAGAACAACAAAGCTTGCAAACAATGCTTTCAAAAGATACTCTGTACTCACAAGTGGGTAGGAGGAGGGGGAAAAAAAAAAGCAAAACACCCCACAAAACACCACACCAAAACACCACTACCCAAAAAAACCACAAAAGAACCATCCAAGCCTTTTGGAACCTGTTCTATTGTCAAAAAAAAAACCAAAACAAAACAAAAAAACAGGTATGCATCTGATAAAGTGTCCCCCCAAAGCAGATTGGTCATTCCAAAGTGAGATAATTAGGGCATTCCAAACCAAATACCTTCTCTTCCCAAACCTAATAATACACTGCAGACATATCCACAAAGTGAAACCTCAGCCAACTCAGTTGTAAAAGAGTTATTTCAGGAAACAGTTGAGAGAAAGGGGAGCAAGGTAGTAGAGTATGCTGCAGCATCAGCCGAAAGGGGGTTTTTTCCATATCAAGACACAAGTTTTACCCCTAAAACTTATAATGCTTCAGGAATACAGGCTCAGTGGAACCGCAGACACTACAGAGAAAATCAATTACTTTTTTTTCTTGTAAAATAATTTTCCAGGATTTCCAGGTAAATTAAACCTGTTTGGGCAAACCAGCTGTTTGGCCCAAAATAGCTACCTGAGAAACAGAAACGTGAAGGAGCGGAAGACAAACGTCGGCTGCTGGGAGCACTGGGTCAGTAATATAGTTTACCACTCAATAGCCAGCGCATCCACAAGTTAAAGAGACCTCTATAAAAACACCCTCTGTAATGTGACTGGGCTTGACAACACAGGAGCACTTGCCTGATACCATGTATGTTCTTGATTGCATAACTTATTTCTCTCCGCAGTTCCTTCTCATTGAATTCCATCTAGAGGAACAAAAGCAGATGAGATCATATTACAGTAATTTTTTAAATAAACAAGAAAATATTACCTGTCCCAATATAACTGGAAGACAGGCAAGTTCAAATGGCAAAAGAGTAATTTCTAATTGTGCTAAGAAAGTAGAAATATTTTAAAACATTTTAACACTAAGGCTACAGGCAGCAGTACAGATTTAAAAAAAAAAATTGTGAACCCTTCCATTGCAGATAATGCAACAGCTAAAATGATTTGACAGAACATCCCAAAAGAGACATGAGTTGATAGAGTAAGCCACAAAAAGCATTTGGAAGAAGCAACGTTTTTTTTAAGCCTGGTTTCCTGAAGTGATGCAAATTCTGTGATTATGTTCCATTTATCCTCCCCTTCCCATCCTACTGTTTTTCAATCAAATCTAAGAGAGGAGTGGTCTCAGTTATGAAGCTGTAACGCTTTTTTTCCAGTTTCTTGAAAGCCAGCTAGCTGGAAAAGAAGTTAGTGTTGTCACAAACCAATGGGTCATTACCTAAGCCTGACTGTTGTCTGTTCTGATGGACTGCTAGTTGACCTACCGCATTTAAACCTTGGAATCAGCCACAGCCCTGTCTGGTCCTTATCCAACTGAATGTTAGGGGATATCAAGGCAGTTGAATATAAAACAGGGGAAGCTTAGGAAAGATGTAAAAGAATGGGGACTAGAGATACAGTAGAGTTCATGGTGAGGGGAAGATGAAGTCACTGGAGTCAAAGACCAAAAAAAAAAAAATAATCAAAGAATATGTAACACAAACTCATAGGGAGCCAGGTTTCATTAGTTTACACCACATTGAACCTTCACTTATTCTGTTACCCAAAGGATGGGTAAGCAAGAAGAGAAGTATCAAGAGGACAAATGTTATCTCAAAACACCAAATTTGCTTCTGCTCCACCTCCCACTCTGAAAATGTAGGACTGAAAGCTGGCTTTGGTTTAATGCTGTGAAGATAGGAAGTAGAAAACACAGAAAATGGCTATTTTCCATAACTCTAATTTTAATAGGTATTAACTACTTAAACACAACAACTTAAATTTACCAACTGTAGTAGCTTCCCTGCCCCATTTAACCAGAAGGAAGATGTCGTTTGTAATAAAACAGCAAAAATGCATGGAAAATGGTAATAATTGGGGCTATAATTATATTCTAATTACTATATTTCAGAATTCTTAGTATGATCCAGTGTCTAAAACTAGAAATGAAGCCCCATGGCTCAATTATCACTTCACGTAATTTCTTCCACAACTAAGAGCATGTTCTTCCAATCCAACTTTTTCTTGGCTTTACTACTATCAATATGAATGTGAGAACACATAAATAAAACACAAAGCACACCAGCATGATGGATAAATACCTTCACCAGTTCAAAAGGAAAACGTTCATGGAAAATACGATTGATTTTGGCACCTCCTGAAAGTTCTAGTGTATCAACCTGATCTCCTGATCCTTCAATTCTTTTTTCAAAGTCCACTGAAAACTGTTGTACCATCCTAAATTTCAAAGAGGAGAGAGAAAAAAACCAAACAGAACCATTTAAGCATGTCAGCTACCAACTCTTACTCCAGTATTATGTGACTACTAGTGCCCTATTAAAACATGTTTAGGAATTGACAAAAGTATCTATAACAACAATTCATTCATCCAAGCTGCCAATCCTTAAAATCCATACCTACGCAGCCCCATGCACCCCTACACCCCTTCTGTCTTGCAGGATGTAGCTCAGTGTATTATTTTTTTCTTCATGAATGTTTTTAAAAAATACTGTTTATGAAACTGTATAGTAAAGTCAGCTACAAATACAGCGAGGTACCAGGCCACTCGTGTTTTATCAATGATCAAAAAAATGTACATGCTCAAATTATTTAAAAATTTATATTTTTTTTTAAGAGAAGAAAAAGTGATAGCAGTCTTTTTAATAGGATAAGCAAACAAAATTCCTAACATTTAAGTTATAATACTTCCTATATTTGAATAGAAAAGCACACCCATATTTAGATGCTGTTACAGAAACTGCAGAGCTCAACCAGGGAGACCACCACAAGCAAAAATTTCCATCTTACGGCAAAATGTACCATCTGTGGAGAGCTTACTTCTTCACAATGACCCTTTGATCTTTCTAATGTCTTTCAGAAAGATACAGTCCAACAGCACGATGTGAATCAAGCCACTAAGTTGATCCAGTGCTGGAAAATTTGGAAGGGATTGCTAAGGAACTTTCTTTTCCATGCCAAAAAGCTAGCCCTGTAAGCAGTACTAACATGTCAATGTGGCAGCTATCAGTACCACAAGCTCCAGCTTATTTGGTTGTCCTTAGACTTCTGCAGCAGGACCATTTAGAAGAACACACACGGGAATTCCCCCAGTTATGGAAGATTCAAGGATAGCTTTTTTTTTTTTTAACTCAAGTACAGGTATTTGGTCATAAAACTTGAAACAACAGATTCTGCCTAAAAGGAACATTACGTATCAGCTGCACATAAACCTCAGATACCTATATGGCCAGGTTAACAGAATTATAGAAACAGCCCAAGTGTAGGGCCTCAAATTCAAATTTTGAAGAGAATTGCGGAAACTTAAGACCATCTATGGGGCGAGGTGAGGCAGATATTTTTTCTTATACGCATTATAGAACAACTTCTCAAGAATCAGAGGAAAGGGTTCTAGTTATGTTACCTTCCACACCCCAAAAGAAAAAGAGAAAGTGATAATTTTTACTGACAAAAGAAGTTAATTTCTCCTATAGCATCTACTTATAATGAAGGAATTAGAAAAACCTATGCAAAGAAGTATCAAGTAGGATGACTTTGGCTGAAATGGAATTAAATTCTTTTTCCTATAGAACATGTTACAAGAGTAGAACACGAGTGAGATACCAACAACACCTAACAACTCACTACACTTCATATATGTGTTTGTAGCAATTAAGTCACCAAATATACAGAGTAAAAAACAAAACCAAAACAAAAAACAACGAAAAAACCTGTGTTGTACTGTCATGGGAGAGTCAAAGGTGATGTCCCCCTGTTTTCGCAACCAAAACATCAGAAGTAGAGTCACAAATGACAGGCTTATGTCTACTCTTTCAGACATAGTTGTTACAAAAACAAGGAGTAAATCAGAGGCTTCAGCAGGCTCAAGAAAGCCTCTCTAGGTTCAGGTGACCATTTTCCCTTCTGAATTCCAGACTTTTAATTAGCGAATGCATCCTGTCCAGAACTTAGGCTTTTTCATAATCCAGTGATATTACCACCTGTCCCAGAGAACTGAGCAGGCTGAAAATCTTTGAAACCAGTCAGAGTAGGAATATGAAAAGTCACATAAAAGAAGAGCTAGATCCATTTCTCTGCAACATCAAGCACAGAGTTCTTTGGAGTTTGCATACAGAATCCTTAACTATATCCTAATCTTTACATTTAAAGCCATTAGAAAGAAGAAAAAAGAAAAAAAAACCTATACAAAGTGGAAAAGCAGACAAAAGACTAGACACTCACTGCAACAGGGCTTTAGTTTTTCTGGTTGGATCTTCTGGTCTGAAGTTCTTGTATACCTCTACTTCATGTTCTATAGAAAGCAGCTGGCTCTGGAGTTTGCTTCTGAAGGCTGGCAGGGTATCCCGAATATGATTGGTAAGTTGCTAAAAAGCAAATAAAAGTCTTTTCATACTGTTAATAAAGATGAAAGCAAGAGCACAATCATTTCCTTCTGACTGCCAAGCATATCAGCCATGACCTGTGCTAGTTTACCAGGGTAGCTCCTTTTGATCTTTGAAGCAATGGAGACTGTTAAAGAACAATACAGCATCCCTTTTGCATACACATTATAAGGAGGCTTGAAAAATTCTTTTGTCCTCTCACTCACTGAGCCCTGTTACTACATACCTGTTTAGTTACACACATTACATGTTTGATTTGAAACCACCTCTCATCACTCAGCACGTATGCCACCGCTCCCATTTTTTTTTCTAAGGGCGTTTCTCAATTCCCTATATATATGTTCAGCATGACAACTCCTTTACTTTACAGCCACAAAGCAATGTGGGACAAAGAAGAGATTCTGAGCACCCACAGCCCATTGAGAACAGAGATGGAGGGACGCTTAGACATACAGAGTACCTACCTGGTCCTCCCCACCATTGAGAAAAGTCACCTCCACATGATTTCTGCTCCCTTGTACTAAGTATACTAAAAGGGATGAGATTTTGCCCTCACATTAATGATTATAGAACTTTACCTTTTTTAAACATTTGATTTTTGGCTGAAAAAGTTTCTACCACTCAGGACTATCGGTTTTCACTTCTGAAAACAGGCCTAAAGGTACTGGAAAATAAACTGAAGGAGAGTAGAAAAAGGCTTACCAGACCTGTGTTTACCTTACCTCGCTTACTTTTGCACATATATGTTGTAATGTGTTTGGACAGCACTGTCAACATCTTACCTGTGCCATAAATTCCTCATGCATTGTACCCGCTCCTTGATTAAAACTAAAGTGGACTTCTTGCACTATGCTGCAACAAAAAAAGCCATAAATTAAGAACAACACATACCAAAATATGTAAACTCCAAACAAAAGTTGTTCAGCAGACAAAAAATCAAAGGCTGGAGTTTCCCTGGAGCACCACCTTGTGGATGCAGAGAAACTGAAATATTACCTGAAACCACAGACACTAATAGGCGCTTACCATCTTGGGGATGAAACTCAAATAGATCTTCCCCTGTATAATATTCTACACACAATAATAGCAACAGAAGACCAACAGTTCATACTGATACAGGTAAATTTACAAAACAGCTCACAAAAAAGTTAATACATAAAGGAATGTAAATCAGGACAGATGAGACGGTCTACAGGTATATGCAGCTCATGCTTCAGTCTCAAAACTAAGACACATGGATTAAACTTTAAAAATATAAAAAGAGTCAAAACATCCTAAACATAGACAAAATAGCAAGATACAAGCGAGTTCTTGCATCCCGCTGAAGACCTTGGTTCTGAGGCACAAATAAATGTCATTAGCATTTTTTTTAAGTGAGTCCAGAGCATGCCATAACCTGGCTGTTAAGTTACAGCTGCAAAGTCACTGTAGCAAGAAATTAAGCAGGTCAGCCACTTAGTTTCCTACTTTAATGAATAACTTCTCTGCTGTTTCTAGCTGCTGTCCAAAATCGACGAAGCCAGGCTGACCTGGTCTTTGTCTACTCCAGACTACAAGCTGTCATTTGACAGTGAACCGGAAAAAAACTATCCAGTTTGACTGGTCAGCTGATAAACTAGAGTTTATTAAAAAATTAAAAAAAAAAAATAAAATCATAGCATCACCAGTAATTTTAGAGACGCAGGCATGACTTGATCTTTTTCTCTTCCAACTTGCTGAGATTCAAAATCATTAGGGTCATACGCTATTCAAGCTCAGGGATGGCGCTGTGTAAAGAGTAATACCCAAAGACACAAATGGTGGAAGAGAATTATATACTCCTCCCAGTCTGCTGGAGGCAGTGACTTCATTAGGACGGTAAGCTATGTGTTTCTCCTCCAGGTAACTGGGAAATAGAACTCTGTTTCCTGCTCTGAAGGAAGCTCCGATCTGACACGGTTTGGCATGGACACAGAGAAATAAAGCAAAGGTTTGGGCAAAAATATAGGTAGTGTGAACAAAGCGTTCCGATTACTGTACTAGTCATTTATATTGTTAGTATATGGTATACTGTTTCTATTAAAAACTACAGTAAAGTGTAGATTTTGAGGTTGAAGTACAGACATACAGTGAACCCTCACGATACATGATTTCTAAAAATGTCATGGGTTTTTCTTCTCTAATTTCCAAATGTGAATTCTAAAAATCCTGTTAAACTAGAAGAAATGCAATAATTAAGGAACAGAATGGTATACGTCCAGGAAGGGAGAAAAATCTTATGTTTTATGGTCACACTCAGTATTCAAGAGAACAGGGGAGAGCAGAACTGTCAGTAAAAGTCAGAAACTACATCTCACAGTAAGTTGTCATATGCTACATGTAATATGCAGCTTTGCTTATTACATTGTGAAAACTAAAAAGGTTAAAAGCAGGAAAGAAAAAATGAGGTTCGCTGACCAACATCCATTTTAATAAAGATTTTATATTGGTCCTATCGTTATAAAAGCTGCCTTTCACCACAAAGACTTCAGGTTTTACCTGGTTCAGAACTTTCTGGAGGTACGGTGTTCCCATCCGATCTGCCATGTGCCTATATGCTGGGTGGGAAAGGAAGAATTTCCTTTCTGCTAGAAGAGCTGCCTTTATGTCCTTCTTCCCATCAATGTCTTTTTGGCTCCTGTTTACAACACCAATATAACCTAAAACAACACAAAACCAATGGGTAAGTCAATGCAGCTATTGCCTGAACTACTGAAGTCATATGGAATCGAACTAGACTGCCTCAGTTCAAACAAAACTTCCAAATTTAGGCATTTCAGATATCATTTACAAGTACTGTAATGACCTTAACGGTGTCTAAGTTGTTCATCCAGTTTATGCATAACAGATATACTTCCCTTTAAATCACCAATTCAAATACAGAAACATCTGAAACTCTGGTGTACCTCAAAGAAACCACTTCAAAAATAAACAAACCGAAAAACGCCAAAACAAAATCAAAATGCACAGGTCTATGTAGATAACCTACGTGAAAATAGCAAAATACAGGAAATTTTTTTTCTTGTCTGCTGGACCAACACGCTCCATGGGAGGAGATGGTGGTCTCATCAGTAAATCATAACTAGAATCAAAATTCTTGATATTGTTAACTGTATGAGCAACTGTGGCAGTAGCTACCAGAACAATCTCATGGAAAATTTCTGGAAGGGGTCAAACTTGGTTTACAGTGAGGGAAAAAAAAAAAAGATTCTTTTGTTACAAGCAACAGCAACCCGTTATTCTAGAATAGAAAACTGACTAACAACTTATGCTGATATTTCTTGCTTCCTCTGGAATATGCAGAGTATTTTCCAGGTCCAGGAAAAAAAAAATTATTTTACTTGCAGGATACTTTTAGCACAGCCACCTTTTATGTCTGCAGAATAGACAATGATTAAAGCTAGGAAAATCATCAAGTCCAGCATAACCTTTAATTTACCTCCAGGACTATCAACCACCACCCTTATCCAGACCACTTTCTGTATCACAAAGAATACAGGCAAATGAACATTCTCACCCCTACGAAGAGGGAGTAGTTTATTTTCCAGAATTTCTCTTGCATCTGTTCCTTCATCCATGAGATCCAATTTTGTGATCACACCGATGGTCCTAAGGCCTGACCGCGGTGGAGGCAGGAGGAAAAAGACAGTGAAGAATCATTTATATCCAGGAAAAACAAGTACATCTTACAATTATATAATAACAGGCATGTGGCAGTCTCAAAGCATTGTATCACACAATACCAGTTACAACTGCAAATTATGGTATGTCTGGAAAAGAAGGGATCATCCTTGCCAGTGCTGAAATGTATTCCTCAAATCTCTTTAACAAGGCTCAGGGTTCCTATGATATGACTGTACAAAATCTATGATGCAAGCATCCAGAAATCCCATCAGCACCATGGTCCATTTTGCTAGGGACTACAAAAATTTCTATATAGGCGCTGTCCCACTTGCTTATAAGAGATAGTGACAAAATTTTAAAAATACATTTAAAGCATCATTACCCAAATGATACTGACCTAACAAACAGAAACAGCTGAAGCCTATAAGAGAACGTATATTTATACATCTATATTATATATTGTAAATTATATTTCAGACAAGAGTTGGTCTATTACTTCCAATTCTGTTCTTACACTTGAGAACAAAAAGTGGTTACGTTTGGTCACACTTACCTTGAGGGTCCACTTCCTTAGCTAACTTCAGTGCATCTGAGTTGGCCAGATCAGTGTTAGCTGGAGTCACAGCCAGTATCAGACAGTTTTCTCGAGAGATGAACTGCATTATCATGTCTCTGATCTGTTGCTCAATATCTGGAGGTTGATCCCCTACTGGCACTTTAGTGATTCCCGGCAAATCAATAAGAGTCAGGCTTAATACTGTATGGAAGACACAGGACAACAAAACTGGTTAGCACACCAGACTTGTCTAAAGAAGTCTACACATCTATGGCTGCAGACAAATTTTAGTCACATAAATCCCCACATAATTACTTGTATAAGCATATAAATATTGTGAACAGTTCAAAGAAAATGCCTGACAAACTGAAAAGTACACTTGATTCCCTGTTGGTCTTTCATCTCTGTGTTTATTAACATTACAACTGGCATAGAAGGATGATACTTATAGTGAATAGTCTTGAAGGCTCTCAGACAAATGAACACGGCCTTCTGAGCTTTTTCCACTAACAGGAGCACAGACAACAGACCATTCCCACTGCATCTTTCAAATCAACCCAAAACAGGGTTGTGGTTTTAGCTTGGGGTTTTAGGGTTTTTGGGGTTTGGTTTTTTTTTGTTTTGGTTTGGTTTTTTTGGGGGAGGGTGTTTTGTTTGGTTTTGGTTTTATGGGGTTTTTGTTTGTTTTTTTAAATGCAGTCCTTCTCTGACCATGCATTCAACAGCGTCCCCAGTTAAACAATTTCCAAAACAGTCAATAGCTAGCCTAACTTATATAGCAAAATTGTTGTTAAGAGGGTTTGGGGTACTTTGTTGTACTGGTTTGGGGATTTTTTTTTTTTAACTCTGTAACTTCTGAAGTAAAGTAAGAAACATGAGAAAGTTTACCCATTACAAAAACCTGTTTTGCTCTAGCGTGATTTCCCCAGTACAGGCCACAATGCCACCTAGAAGCATCCCAGCTCGTTCAGCCAGTACTGGGGTAACAAAGCATCCCTTAGACAAATGGAAAAATGTGATTCCTAGAAAGCAAACACCAGAAGAATATCTGGGGTCTGGCTAATACAGACAACAGGTGCTGAACTAAAAGACTGATCCTAATAAAATAAAGTAAGAGCATTAGGTTGGAAATTTTCATTTTCTCCTGGAGTCAGCACGTTCAGCAAACAAGCTTTGAGGCAGGGCATTTAGTTCAGCTCCTCTCCAGTTGGCTGTGCCACATCTCTACAGCAGAGAGGGGCTCCGGGGCATCTGTTTAGAGCCAAGGCTGCTCACAGTATATCAAAGGGAGGTTCAGCATCTCTCTAATCACCTCTCTTCTTATTCTGCTCTTTCTGTCTTTTGATTCATAATGAAGCCGTCAGATGAGGTGGCTAGAAAAATGAAGTGCTTCAGCCAAACATACCACTTTTCTCCTGTATCCAAAACAGATTAAATGCAAAATATTTTTTCTAGATTGCCTTCATTAAATTGGGCAGATGGCAACCAAAGGAATTAACTTTGATGTACACTGGGAGTCTACAACACAGGGCAGCTTCAAACACCATTATTGTGTAAATATAGTTTTAGTGACAGCAACCAATAAACATCCAATAGGTCAGGGAGACGTAATGACTTTCTAGATCACTGATCAGGGAATCCATCTGGAGGGTGGCAAAAAGAATCATTACCACTATGTCTTCCATCTCCTATTATTTGTCTTTACTAGTGAGCTACTATCTAATGGTACATGCACTGCAGGAGAGACTGGTTTCATCCTGATGCAGAATGAGAATATTAAATGGGATAGAGAGTCTGCGTTCTGCATGGCTCTAGTGGCAACAGCTCTCCACCACTGAGTGGTTTTGTAACACAGCAGAAGTTGAGAATTCCTCCAGATACATATTCACTTTTGGTTCAACTCATTCTCAGAACTTTTTTTGTCCCAGAAGACTTCTGTTTGAGTAATGAGAACACATACAAAAAGGAGACAGCTAGACAGACAGAGCTACATGACACGTTACATGACAGAAGTATGAAGTAGAATGATTTTACCTACCATGTGGAGAATATATTCTTAAATTAATAGGAACTGAAGAAATGCCTTTGTTCACTCCTGTTACTCTATCTGTTTCTACTTCAATTTCCTGACGAACTTCATCAAAATCAGTAAACTTCCTCCCTTTGCAGTGTAGAAATTCAGCATATTCTGTGAAAAATATCAATAGCAACTCTGTATTTCACAGACTTACAGACTTGGCCACCCACTTTTCAAGCCCCTAGTATTCTACAGATCCATATGAACAAAAGCGTGTCATCATGGATATCAGGAAAGCATTATATATGAGTACATGACCCAGCCTACAACAAGAAAGGGTTAGTTAAAAAGTCAAGTTGACTGGATGTGATTTACTGCTTTTATCTTCAGCACATCATCTTCTGGAACAACTGGAAAGATTCAAATCCTTAATAAATCCTTAATGGAATAAACAACAGATCGTGAATCAGATTCTGAGTTTTCATCTGATTACATTTGCCTGTAATACATCTCTAAATTGAAGAAAAGTAATTCAAATTCTGTATCATGAAAGACTATTAGTATTTGTTGTTCAAAAACTAACAGTCCATGTTACACATGATTTTAACTAAGGAGTTCTGTACATTTTTACGAGTTGGTAATACAAATAAGATCACCTAAATACACTATAATGTTTTTAACACAACTCCTCATTTCCTAGAAATTTCTTGTAGTCTAAATCCAAACCATGCTTAAGAAGTTTGTAAAAGCTTCTATAGATAAGCTGTGATTTTGCTTATGTGGCATAACACAATCAGTTCCTAAGTCTTCAATATTACACAGCTTGCCCTCTTACCTTAAAAGGCCACCGACTAGGGACCAGTGACAGATACAGTCTAACTTGTTAGACTCAAACTTGACACTAGGTCCCTGTTCCAACTCTTCAATCTAAATACTGATACTAATTACACAATCACAGAATAGCAGGGGTTGGAAGGGACCATCTAGTTCAAACCCCCTGCCGAAGAAGGCTCCCCTAGAGCAGGCTGCACAGGACCGCATCCAGGCGGGTTTTCAATCTCCAGAGAAGGAGACACCACACCCCCTCTTGGCCAGCTCTTCAGGCTGAACAAGCCCAGCTCCCTCAGCCTTTCCTCATAGGAGAGATGCTCCAGTCCCCTCATCATCCTCGTAGCCCTCTGCTGGACTCTCTCCAGTAGTTCCTCATCTTTCTTGAACTGGGGAGCCCAGAACTGGATGCAGCACTCCAGATGGGGCCTCACCAGGGCAGAGTAGAGGGAGAGGAGACCCCCCCCCGACCTGCTGGCCACACTCTTCTCAATGCACCCCAGGATACCCTTGGTCTTCTTGGCAACAAGAGCACACTGCTGGCTCATGGTCAACCTGTCATCCACCAGCACTCCGAGGTCCCTCTCCACAAAGCTGCTCTCCAGCAGGTCAGGCCCTGGCCTGTACTGGTGCATGGGGTTGTTTCTCCCCAGGTGCAGGACCCTATACTTGTCGTTGTAGAACTTGTATTATTGTAACCTTCTGGATTTGCTGCCCTAGAGGTGCATAACCAAGAGCACATCTCAGGATTTTAAAACTAGGGTTTCTTCCTTCAAAACAGAACACAAAAGTTTATCACACACAACAAGGCTGTAATCAGAAATAATTATATAAATGGTAATCACAGATATAAGCTCACGTCCTGTCCCCACGGGGTCTAAGTACTGCTTAGACTGAAGAAAGGCTGAACAAAGTTGTGTATGTTCCAGTATGTTTCATCCTGCAATCAAGGCATGATCTCAAAGTTCCACTTAGATGTTTCTTCCCCAGAAAACGTTTCTTAGTAAAAAAAACTCAAATACCAGGGCAAAGAGTTTTCTTGGTTAGCCAGAGAAAGAACAGCTCAGGAGACCTGATCCAAGACTATACACGAATACAGGGCCATATGTATCAGTACTGCAGCCTGTTTCCCAAAAGTTACTTTATTACTATTGTTGACAGAGCTGTTAAAAGTCAATACCACACATGAAACCATAGCAATAGTTAAAGCAAACAGAGTCAAAAAAGGAGAGAGGAGGGGAAAACAACAAACATCAACCGTTCTGCACTCCAATATCAAAATCCCTCTAGATGCAAAGTACAAGGGACAGGGAAACCCACCCTTGTTAAGACAAAAATAATACATCTCTTATTTTAAAAATGAGAGCACCTAACAAAAACCTCCATCTCACTTTTGACAACTTAGGAATTCCAGAATATTTTATATTCCTTTTTTTGCTCTAGGAGCAAAATGATAACGAATGGGGGTTTTGTCTGTTTCACTGTCAACTATTTATTTCAAAAAAAAAAAAAAAATAGTCAAATATTTCACAGTGAAAGGTAATATGGTGCACAAAAAGTATCTCAGTTGCTCTAGCACATTTGAGAACTCACACTGTAAAATTTGTCATCTCAAAGTTGGAAAATAGCTACCTACTGAATAAAAGAACTGGCAAGCAGTTCTTGTTTTGTCCCAGCTCTTCATGCACTGCCCCGGCATAAAATAAAATGTATTCTTCTCAGTTGCTTTTTTTTATTTTTAGGGGTTCATCAGATTTCCTCAGAAAAATATATCAAAATTCAATAATTAATACTTGGTGCCTAGTTGTAATCAGTTGACTGACGCAGCTGATAGTCAAGGCAGCTTTTCTCGTTGTTCCCCTTAACACTCAGGAACAGAAAGTGTCCCTGTTTGAAATGGCTTCAAGGTAATTCAAATGAAAATATTCACTACTTTTTAGCTATGTTAGTATTTATAAATAGCTCATTCGTCTCAATGACATCTGTGGTCCCACTGGTTCTGAAGGAATAGACTTTACAACGGTTCATAACCTGTGGTGCCACACAGCCTACGGAATAAAAATTCAAATGAACAAGCAGCGCTTTGTTTTGCTCCTTTCAGCCCTTAGCCTGTCCTTGGCAATGATGCCTTTTGCCAGACCGGATAAACACATGCTTTAATGCAATCTTCAGTTTTCAGCTTCCATACACAGAAGACAACTAGGAAAACACTTTATTTACATTTTTGTGGGAATGGACACAAAGCCAAAGAAAAAGTGATCTTGCCTAATATCTAGGTTTCAGATGTGCACTTTCGGTACAAAACTGAAGTTACGTTAAGAGAAAGAACAATTAGATAAAAAAATTAAAACATTGTCTTTGCATGTAGAATACTTTTTTTTTTTCTCAGACTCATTCAAAGCACCTTGGATAACGCAGAATGAAAAAGCTACCACAGCATAGTTCTCTCCAGTGCGTCCAACCACAAGTTGTTGTGGTAAGTTATTATTTATGTCTTCAATTTTGATTAAATCAGACAAGTCATACAAACAAATGTTACGGGATAATGTTTTTTAAAATGCTCCTCATTTTTCCTGTGAATTATATCTCCCTATGCTTTTATAGTTTAATCTAGCACAATGTTATATTGTTATTAACAATAAATAGCTATTGTTGTTTTCAATCCACTTAAGTTACATACACACTTGAGATTTTTCATAAATCTGTCTCTAAGCTGAAGACAGCCAAGTCAGATATGCCAAGTAACAAGATATGGCAGAGCTTGTTCTACATCAGGCTGAGCCCAAGATCTTTCAAAGTCTAACAAAGCCCAAAGACTTCACCCTACACAGAATAACCTGTTACGAGAGGTCAGGAAATACAAAGATGAGACGTGGATTCAGAACTCTTCCCCACCTGATTTAAAGCAGAGTTGTTCCAAGTCCGTGGTGGTATGCACTCTAACATACTCAAAAGAATTAAGTCTCCAGCTCAGAGTTTTCCAAAAAGGTGGTGCATTAAATTGCAGGGCTATAGCAAACATTTTAAACATCTATAGCAAAGAGGGAATACCTTCTATTGCTGCGTCTTCTATCTTCCAGTCCCTTAGGGAGATGTCACCCAAGAGACAACAGTCTTGTTATAGCTTCAACAAAGCACTCCACAAAGCCTCAGAATGCTTTTCAAAAGAGTGATTTAAATACATGCAAATAAACATCATGAGCTAAAGTACATCACTTTTTCTTTGATGATGGATTAGCTTTTTCTGAACAAAGTAAATGCAGTTAAATAAATCTATTTAGACCTTAGAAAATCATTCAATAGATCTGCATTGAAAAGAGAGGCAATATCAAAAGCCCTTGTTGTCTTATCCAACCTATAATCCCTCTTCTAATTTTCTCCATTTCTTTAGCTTTCTTAAAAAGCTGAAGATAAAATATTCAAAACTCGGGCATTCCACTGCTAACCTTCAAGCAGCAAGGCTACAAAAAAAAAAAACCAAAAAAAACTAAAAAAAACCCCACAAACAAACAAAAAAAATCACCCAGAAATTCCCTGGTATTTTCTGAAGAAAAAAAAATAGAAAATTCTGTCAATGCAGAGGATGACAAGAATATCGTAGCAGGAGAGATTAAAAACATTGAAAACAGCATAAATTTGATGAAAGTAACTAGCATAAAATACCAGGTCATGCTCTTAGGATCCAATGAAATGGTTAATTATAAGGGTAGACACTCATACCAGGGGAGGAAAAGTATTCTTTTCGATGCAATAGTCTTTCACATCCTTGAAAACTTTTCTTTGTAGGAGAAGTATCTCTGATCTTTCAACAGATCATGCCTTGTAAACTTCCGATTACCCACACAGCTATTCGCCAGGCATTCTTCTTAAGCTACAGAGGCAGAGCTGTGGCCAAGATCTTTCCAGGAATGAAAAAAAGTGGAAGAAATCCTTTTAAGACAACTGCATTTTCGTTGATGCATCTTGTACAATACTCACTTCTGTATTTTACAACAGGATGGCATCACTGAGTTGTGTTCTGTTAGAGATGCACTGTGAGCACCAGGTCCCTTCTGAAAACCAGCTACCTAATCAAATACCAGCCCATCAGCACAGAAACAGCCCTTATCCTAGCTAAAATTCTTCCTACTTTTGGGCATTTCTCTTCCTTTGCAAGCCATTTGGATTCCAATTTTGCCTTCCAGTATATTCACAGTCTCGTTTGTATTTACTAAATACAAACTTAATAAACAAACCCTGTTCTGTTATCCTATCAGTAACACTAAATACCGAACATCACCTGGAGGGATGTCCCTTCCACTCTGTAAACAACTGCACATCCATCTTATAGAAGTCCTTTCTAG